ACTCAGGCAAGGCTTCCTTTAAACAAGTGCAGTCTGAACACTGGAGCTGCAAGATGTTATTTCTGTCCAATCTGCAATTTTCAGCCAAAATTCTAAATTTCATAGACTTAAAAATTACAGGTTTGAGCTCTGACAGAGGTTTGAAGGTATACCTGAAACTCCTAATTTCTCTTCACATTTGTAGATCTGCAATTAACAAGTGGTGAATTCATTTCTAATTTTCAGTGCAGAACAAATCCCTTCAAATGTCTTGCAAATCCCCAGACTTGGGAATGTACAAAGAAAGCAAGAGCAGACTGACAGAGATTAATTTATTTTCCAGTTCTGAATTGTTGAGTTGACAAATGCACAAACTTATTCCAATGAGTGAAGCCAACAGTGTGGAAACAACTGTCTCCCAGTCTCTCAGCTACATCATGTAACAGCAGCCATGCTCCCTGTCAATCCACACCTCCCTGTACAGATGCCTCAGGTGCCTCTGGCTGGGGAATGCACTGAGTTTGGCCCTTATAAGCTCATTTATGTTCATCACTGACCTGTGCAAGAACATCCTCTTAACGTGGGCCTAAGTGGTTTTGATTCACCTATGCTGTTACAATGGACTGGAGAAAAAGCACATGATGTGCTGGAAGGAGAGTGGGATCCAGCAACAGCTCAGACTGCACTTAATGTGAAGCCTTGCTCTCCACCATTTTTTTAGACACTCTTCAGCAGTCATTGCACCAACAGTACATAACTTAAAGACTTGCAGATTTTGGGCAGTCATGAATGTTCATAATGTGGTGCAAAGCCATGTGAAACAGCAGAATGGGGAGGAACTACAAGATGCCACCTCAAGGGGAAGTTAACTGAGAACTTTTGACCTCCCTTTCTCCAGGAGGTGCTCAGGTCTGGTGCACCAACCAGACCAGTCTGTGTCTGTACTGACTGCACCCTAGCAAGCTGTCACTGAGGCAGGGAACATGTGAGAAGCCCACTGATCTCTGCAGGGTTGTAAATCATGATGATGGGGGTCTGGGGTGTGTGCTGGGGGGAATCTCTCCTGCCATCTTGATGCCTTTTCACTGGTCCTAAAATCAGCAGCCAGACACAGTTAGGGTGGTAAAAATGGGTTACCTTTGTAAGGATCCTTTGGTGTTTTCCACCTGGTGAATTGTGCACCTAAGTTGTACACACAGCATAATGTGTATACATTTTTTATAGGGTTTACCAATTAACATCTCTGACAAAAATCCCTAGTTAGAAGCATGGTTGGTGAGGTAATCCCCCCATTTCAACTCTTTTTCAAATTCCCCCTCCTTTAGATAGGGACTAAACTGTTTATAAAAATATGTCTGGAAGAGCTGGTCTCAACCTTGGTTCCCAGGAAGAACCAAGATAGGACAGGAGCCTCAGATCCCCAGCTTGGAACCTTTGGAATGTGTTTTGTCTTTTTGTTTATTGGGTAGAATCAGGAAAAGTACTGGAGATAAGCTACAAATACAATAATAGGATACAGAGCTACAAATTGTCTTAGGTTGGAAATGCAAGATGTGGCTGGGGGTGTGTATTCTGTGGCCATCTGTTGGAACCAGGTGGGGCAGACATCTTCTGTTAATTGGGCCACCTGTTAAAACCAGGAGGGGCAGTGTTCTTTATCTCTTCCACAACCCATCCTCCCCCCAGGAGATCTCTTCTGTTCATGGCCACTGAGTGTCCCTGCATGGCTGATCAAACTCCATCATCCCACTGGAGGATGCTCCACCCAGGGGAGGAGCCAAGCATTCCTACCTGGATACAATCTGACCCTGGGAACACCACAGCAGCCTTTGCCCACTGCATTCCCAGAGGAGCAGCTTTCTTCTCCCCTGCATTCCCAGAGGAGCAGCTTTCTTCTCCACTGCATTCCCAGAGGAGCAGCTTTCTTCTCCCCTGCATTCCCAGAGGAGCAGCTTTCTTCTCCCCTGCATTCCCAGAGGAGCAGCTTTCTTCTCCCCTGCATTCCCAGAGGGACACCAGGCCCATCTCCAGCAGCCCTGGAGCTTCAGAGGAAAACTCCCCCCTTGTGCAGGATCCCTGCTCCAGCAGAACCACAGCTGGCACTGCAGGAGGGCTGAGCCACCATGGAATGGCACTGTGCCACCACCCTGACACACAGGGGGTCAGGGCATGTTCTGACTCTGTTAGGTTTTTTTTTCTTTTATTACTGCATTTTTATTTTTCCTTATAAAAAACTGTTATTCCTACTCCTATATCTTTGCCCAAGAGCCCCTTAATTTCAAAATCATAATAATTCAGAGGGAGAGGGTTTACATTTTCCATTTCAAGAGAAGCTCCTGCCTTCCTTATCAGACACCTGTCTTTTCAAACCAAGACAAAATTTATGTGTAAAGAACACAGAGAATATATAAAAGAAGACAAGGCAAAAAAAAAAAATCAATTCATCATTAATCCAAACTGATTTTGAAGCTAAGATATCCATTCAAGCCTCTTCATCTGCCCACCTCTGAGATGTCTTACCAGTGCCAGTCTATTTTATCACCTAATGAACAAGCCTATTCTCCTTGCAAGCATTTCTGTGGTTTTTGGAAAGCATCTACTGAATAGTGGTGTCATCAATTTGTTCAAACTTTCTGACTCATTACTAATTGCATTTTGTTTTCTACAATTTAGGGAAGATGGTGAAGTTCTTCCTTAATCTTCCCAAAAACCTTCATGGAACATTTCATTCTTTAGCATGGCTTAGATATTTCTTTTTTCTATGTGTCATCTTACTTCTTACAAGGTGCCTGCCTGTCACTATAATTAGTGGTATTTTAAAGCTTATGCATGTAATTCTAGTCTGTGCAGCTCCATTCACTTTGATGAAGCTCTGCTCCTTCACATCCACTGAAGTTCTTGCCTGTGGCTGAGATTTTAGGTATACATTTTAAGATAAAATTAAGAGAAATGCAGGTTAGTTTTATCCTTGGTTGCTGGTCCATGAAGCATTCTAAATACTCTGCCTTGCCAGGAATGAAAATACTCAATTAGTGCACTTCTGTACTCTGATATGGTACCAACCACATCCATAGAAAGAATTTCGAAAGGAAAACCAAAAATCTGAACCAAAAAAATAGAACAAAAAAGTCAGTCTTGGCATCTGAAATAGATTTCCAACACCCTCTCCCAGCTCCCCATGCTTCCTTTGGGCTGTCTGAGAAATAACAGATGCAAATGGGTTACTTTTGAAAGCACAGCATTTCCTCCTCAGCTGATGCAGTGTGAAAATCCATCTGAAGCCCAGCAGACAAACCCATGAGCAAGTCTCCTCTGAGCTTTGCCAGCAATGATCCATTTCACCATACTGTACCATAAAGAGAAAACCAGACAAGCACCTCCTGGCTGCACCACAGAGCAGAGAAGGCCTCATTTCTCCCCACTGCAGAATACCAATTAAAACACTAAAATGTTTCAAGCCATCTATTCCTAGTAGGAGCTTAATGCAGTGAAAAGTTAGCTTGTTTCTTCCTCTAAAAGCATTCTCTTCACACTCACATAACCCCCATCAGGTGGAATGATTTCTCCCCTTTTCTTTGTTTCTGTGGCTGGCAAGTCAGAGCTGAAGGAAAATCAGTCTGCTGTCTGATGAGCTTTTGATAAAATTCCAGGCTGAAGCACTGCACCTCTTGATTTATTTAGCATTCATACATCCCCAAGAGCTTCTTCAGTTTTGCAACCCAGCCTCTGGCAGTTTCAAGAGTGCAGCTTTCTCTAGAGCAGCTCAAAGTTAAGATAAATCCTTGTGCCAGGCTCAAATATACCACTGGTAAAAGGATACTCTGTCTCGAGATGACACTTTTGGGCTGCCTATCTGTACTCCTTTAATGATTTGCATGCTATGTTTATGTACTTGCCCCAATATATGCTGGGCTTTTCTCTGCTTGTTTTTCCTGTTACTATCAGCACTTCCAGTTCAGGTTAACAAGAAGCTTTCTGTTTGTTTCATGTATCATCACTAAAAGCAAATAGCAGATAACAACTCATTTCAACCAGTGTAATATTACTACCAGACATTAAAGAACTGAGCAGACACAAGGAAATGAAATTAGCTTTCATGTGCTGCTCTCAAAGACCCTATAAAATTCAACTGTAGAAACTGGAAAAGAATTATCCTAAAACCTCTTGCCTAGATGGAGCAACTATGGCATAAAGGAGACATGAAGGAAAAATTTAGTGAGCTTCTCTTTGCCTAACCCACAGCTCAGTGGCTACATACCACTAGAACTAAAAAATGCTTTGCTTCAGTGATGTGCAGATTTCCCCTGTAATGCCCACAGCAGGGAAATGCCATCCTGTGCCATCCTTCCCTGCTCAGCAAGGACTCTGAGCAGTTCTTTAGAGCTGCTAAGGAAATTCAGCTGTCTAGGCATGGTGTCTACAAAGAAACACAACTTGCTGTGATCTCCTGGTTCTTGTATAATTGTTACAGTCCAGAGAGAGTGACAGAGAGGAGGAGGACAGGGTACCATGGTGCTGGCTTTGGGCCCTACGTCCAACAGCTGGGCCTGTAAGAGGAATGCCAATCCAGGAGCACAGTCTGAATTTGTGTTGCTGGAGCCCCTGCACACCCCCATCTGCTACATGGTATGGCAAATGGAGTGGAGCTCCCATGCAAAATAATCCCACCTGTCAAAATAAAGGCAGAAGTACCTTTGCTGAGGCATTATCTCCTTGACTTTATGAGTAACTGGCTACTGTGCAAATCCTGGAAAGTACTGAATGTGCTAATTTACCATGAAAACAGGATCCACACCTACTGTTTATAATATGAGCCTGTTCTTTTTCTCTGGAAGACCTACAGCAGGCACAGTTAAGTTCTGAAGATTGTCATCTTCCTTGCCATTTAACATCACTTAAACAATCAAGGGATTTGGAGAACACAAACAGCTTTATAAGGCAACTCAAAATGTCTCCTATCACAAAGGTGCACACTAAAGAGTAAATCACATATGGGTGAACATAAAGAATGGAATCCTTACCTGCCCTCCTTTAGGCTGGTATTTGATATTATCTGTTGACCCAATTTTGGACCTGACATTCTTGAGGTCAGGTAGAGGCTGGTTAATAACTCGTAGCTGCTTTGGAGTTGCTGGAGATTTAGGAGGAGTGCGAATTATGGCAACTTTTTTCTCAGTAGGTACCAGTATTGCAGATTTGGGGGTCCCAGGAGTGTGGGGAGTTCTGGAGTAACTGGGTGTCCCTGGAGTGCCTGGGGTACGGGAGGCATAGCTTGGTGGTGTCCCTGGAGTGATGGCAGTGGAGCCAGGAGTAGTGGGGGTAGAAGTTCCACTTTTTCCCGTTCTGCTACGAATTGGCTCTGATCCTACATGCAAGAAAAAAAAAAACAAAACAACCAAACAGCTTTAGAGGCACAGAAGTACAGCTCTTCTTCCCTTTGTACTCCCAAGAGTGCATCCCTGTGTGCCAAGCAAGACACAGCTCTTCAGATGGCAGTGCTGCTGCTGGAACAGCAGCTGGAATGGGTCTCTCTGCATCTTACTTGGCTAATCAACCTGCCAGGAACTACCCGGCCATGAGAGGTTGAGCCAATGCCCCCAGAGTGACTGAGCTCTCCATTCTGTACCACAGGAGTGCTTCCCACAATACCACTGCTTCCTGCAAAGCTGCCTAAACAAGGCACATCATCACATTTATTTCCATTTTGGGCAAAGGACGAGAAGCACCCTTGGAACCCAACCTCTGAGACTTGATCTAACCAATTTCAGTGGATCTGGGCAAGAAACTAGAAAGCAGTAAAAATTCTGCTGATATTCCTGAAATAAAAAGCTGTGAGTGCCTGGCTGGAGCTGTTTCTCTGCTGGAAAAGTGCAGATGAACCCCAGGTGGGCTTTCAACTGATGCACAAGCTATATCTCTGTTGTGTGGATTGGTAGATGTCCTTACATTCAATTGCTATTTTTCATCAGTGCTGTGAAAGAAAACCATTACCAGAGACAACCTTGATAAAAAGTCACATTCTACTTACATTTGCACGCAAGTAAAAAAACCCCAACACTATCATTTTGTAGCAGCTCCATTCAGTGTTTATGGCATTGCCAGTCCTTTTCACTGGGCACAAGGATCAGTCTAGCTGTCCTTTCTGCAGCCAGCTCTGCTTCTAACTCTCAAACATAAATAAACAGAAGCTGAGATATCTCCAAAGTAAAATTTTGCTGAGAATACTTATGGAGAGAAAGATCAAGGTAACTCTCAAAACCTGGGAACCCCAATGCCAAATGGGTGCATGTGTGCTTACACTCTTCAAATATTCAGAAATTATAAATCCAATGGGCCCCTCAAAACCATCCAGTGGGACTAAACACATTTTTATTTTAAGTGTTATCATTCTGTTTGTGCAATGATGGTGGCCCAAACCCAATGCACTCCTGTCCCTGGGGCTCAGGAGACACTCCTTGCTCTACATGACTCATTAGGCAGACTGAACATACTCCACTCACCTCCCATTTCCCTGAACAGGTTTCTTTCTTTCCAAACCAACCCTAAAGCTTCTCACTATACCATCTGTGACACAAAGTGATTTTTTTTCCCCTCACCTCCTTGCAGGTCTGGTGTATTTACTTTTCATTCCTCAGCCCTTCACCACCTGCCAAATGCTTAATAGCTTCTTACTCCTAAATCAGGAGAATGGGCTGGCTGTTCTGGCAGCTGGAGGTCACTCTGCTTTCAAAGGGTCTCTGTTTCACCTTTGGAGCATCACTTATGAATTTCAAAGGACTTTTTTTGCAGAATTTAATCATGTACTTCTCTTAAGCTGTCTTAAAAAGGGCTGAGATTGGTTTCTAAAGAGAGAAGACAGAGGAACTCCTATTGGAAAGCAGGAAGCCACATGTAGGTTCTAAGGCCTGGCTAAAAGTTCTGGGGTTATTTAGTAAATTGTCTTTGTCCTGTAATTTATTTTGGCTTGTGATTTGATAACTTTGGAAAAAAAGTTTCTCATAAAAGAAACCTAGCTGGTTCACTGCCCCCAGTGAGTCACTCTGCTACTTAACATCTCAATTCTCAGCAGAAATTTTACCCTAGGAGTAGAGCATAGGGAGATAATTACTGGGAAGCAGCAAATAAATGACTGTAACTATCAGGTTCACTTTTCCAAGACCCATCAGAATATTTCAGGTTGTCTGCTTCAGCTTTGACTCATTATTTCTTGCTGCTATTTGTAAATGCTCTGTGTTAAGTACCTCACCCAGCTCTGAGCTCCCTGCAAAGGCATTTTCTAATATCAGCAATTAGTCAGGGCAGCAGACCTCGCTCTGGGCACTGCAGGTGCATCCTGCCCCTGCTTTCAGGCACTTGGCATGTGAACAAAATCATTCTACACCACACCCCAGACCCACTCCTCTGTGTCAAAGGCTGTGCAATGTGACAAATCTACTGAGGATGCAGACAACCACAGAAGCAGGAGAAGGTTCATATGCAAAATAAAGAGACAACTCACGGGTAGTCCGTCGTACTGAGGAGGAGAGAGAAGAGGTGAGGGACAGGGAGTTCTCCTCTCTGTCTCTGTCTCCTGAAACACCTCGCCGAGGAGGAAGGATGGAGGAAGGCCTCGGCAGAGATGAACGCTTCTCAGGGCTCTTGCTTACTCCATCCTAACAGCAGCACAACAACAAAGGAAGGTTTAGTTTGCAAAACTCACTCTTTAGGCTATGATTTCCTGTATCTACACACAGAGGGGGAAACCTAATCCTGTGGGTCCAGTTTGCTCCTGACACAGGAACCTGCAGGGATCAGTCACCCTCCATGCTCTGCTTTAGCTCCATGGTGCCTCTTTACTACATCCAAACGGTGTCTGATGACTATCCTGAGACATCTAGGGATATTCTTGGATCCAAATATGGATGGATTCCACAGTTGGCTCTTACTAAGGAAAAAAAGTGGGGCTTTTAAGTGCAAATTGAAAGTAAAAGAAATCTCTAGAGCTCAAGTGTGGAATTCCTATGTGAATTTACCTGCAGAGTAACTGCACTACTGGTGTCCAGACACTAGATTGGTAGGTGTTGTGTGATTTTTGCATATTCAAACACTAACTTAGAAATTTCTTATGGAGATAAATTCTTAGCTTCAGGTATTGTTGTTTATTTTTCTTTTTTTTTTTCCCTGAGTGTGGGATTATAAATACTGTTGTTTTAATTCCTTCTATAATAAAATGTTTACTTTTTGAAATCAGTGCATACCTTCTCTTTAGAGTAAACCCCTCTTTACCATTAGGGCAATGGACATGAATGTTAGAATATTTTTGAGCTTATGCTAGAATATTTTTGAGCTTTGAGCTTTATGAGCTCTTGATGTGCAGTCAAAACCAGACCAGCATAAGCAGACATTCTTCCTAAAGACAAATGATGATGGTCCCAAACAGTAAAAGACACACCAAGTATGGCATTAAACAAAAGATGTAAGTCAATGCAAAACCAAATTTTAAACGGGGATAGTTAAGTCACCATAATGTAGATTTGAAATACAAGTTAAATGTAAACATGGAGAAGCTGGAATGGATTGCCAATCATCTTTTTAAATTTATACTGCAACTTCTTCACAAACTCCCTATGCATTGACTAAATTTGGTCCTTGACATTTGGATTCTGCCCTATTCTATCCCCTGCTGCTGGTAATTAGAACTGCACCCTCTTATATTAACAGGTCAAAAATTACAGTTTTTTAAACTTGGAGGGCAAATTGGTCCTGCTGCTCTTTACCACCTACCCACTTGCAAATGGGCGTAACTTCTTGGCAGTTAATGAAGTAGCATCCATATGATCAACAGAAAGAAGATATGTCTTTCTAGTTATAACTTCACTTACATTTTCTGTAGAGTATCTCCATTTTTATCCATCTTGTAGCCTGCTAATCAGTTTTCCTGCCACTGGATCTAAGTAATCCCACAGGAGCTTCACAGAGAATTACTCAAATTCAGTGGGTAGATAATGTGTTTCATGGAGTTCACCTGTGCATCTCTGACTCTCTCCACCAACTCTGCTACCTTACCTTAGCATCTGATTTTGAGTCTCTTGGGCCTGCAGAGGAGGGCCGAACAATAAAACTGTCTGTATCCAGACATGTGGCCCTTTTAGTGGTTAATGAGCAAGCTGAGCTGGGTCTTGGAGGAAGCAATGACTTTGCTCTAGACTTTGAGGCAGGAATCTTTGACAAAGAGGCAGTCTAGTCATGAGAAAACAAACAAAACACAACATGAAGCTGGACAAAATGAAAACACATGCAACATGGACCAAAAAAAAAAAAAAAAAGCCAAGCTATGACTAATACTTTTCCTGTGTCTGGTAATGGTCTAGCAGATCTGACAATCATGGAAGTTTCAGTTTTGTGTTGTTTGACTGAAACCATCTTGGTCTGGACAGAGTTACCAATTCTAGGAATCTGCCTTTTTCTGCAGACACTATTTGAGTCTTGTGTTATTAGGAAAAAAACTGGTTCCAGGTGTGGCATTTAACTGGTGCAACTGCTGCATTAGAAACAAGTGCAAAGCTACAGGAGCACCAAGGGACCCCAGCCCTTTAAAGTCAAAGTATATCCCTCCAGGCTAAAATCAAGAATAAAACAGTGGGAATCTTAGAAGCAATGTTACACCAGTATTCCCACAACAGCAGGAGAACAACAGTCATTCCTTCTTTTGCCACTGTGTACAGATAAAATCTCCAACACACCCCAGATACTGCTCTGTGCATTTGGTGTCACTCCATAGAAATTCATAAATTTATGTTGGCAGTATGGAGTCCTGGGATGAGAAAAGCATATATGGCTGGAAGGCTTATGTTATTGCAAACAAATACTTGTTTGATACCAAATAATGACAATATCCCATTGAAAGAACAATTGAACACCAACAGGACAGACAGAAAATCTTTGTTAATACTTAGAAGCATCTTATTGCTTTACAAAAAGCAATCTCCTTGAAACAGAATAGGGCTACTTGCTTAAGAAACACCTTTTTTTTTTTTTTTCCTGTAGGTGTAACTGATATTACAAAGAGCAGTTGCAAAGGTAGTCCTTATCCTCTCTGTAGTCATACTAGAATGAAATTCCTCACAGGAGCAATCCCAATGGGCCTGTCCTCCTGGGATTTGCATTGAACTTTAGCACTGAACTTGGCATTTGATCTCAATCAACCCCCTAGACTTTCCCAATGTTCAGAAAAGGTACATGAGGAGCTGCTTTAAAGTTGTCTTGTTAGAAAATAAGAATGGTCTGTCCAGCTCTGACAGGCCTCTGGCTTAGGCTATATACTCAGCCTATGGAAAAGTGAGGCTGGTGTGTTGAATGTCATCTGTGACATCACCCATGGGATTAAGAGCTGCAGAACTGTGTATCAAGCAATTCCAGTCCCACAGTACAGCTGAGAGGAGTTCCATTGGATGTCATCCTCCAGACCAAGTAGCAAGACAAGAAATTAGGATGGAAGTGCTTTACTAGCAAGAACATAGTCCCATAATGAGTTCTGCAGCATATTTATGCCTCTTTCTTTTTCAATACTTATTTTACTGTCTGAGAACAAACAGAGGGAAACCAGTGAATAATTATTTTACAAAGAAACTACAGAATATGAGGTTTCTGTCAAATCAAAGGCTTTTCCAGATTTTGACTGTTTTGTCATAGTTCAGTTTATGGGTCTCATCCATTTGTGAAACTTTGGACCATGTTTAGAAATCCATGAAGGTATTTACTGATGCTGAAACTCTGTGGAATATTTATGTTGGGTGGCCCCAAGAAGCAGACATTCTGCAAGCACCTTTCACCTGGCTTTCTGAACTAGAGATAGAACTAAGCACACATAGCTTGAGGCTCAAATCTTCATTCTGTGGTTTTCACCATTTTCAACTTGCATGCAAGGAACTACCCCTACAATGAGACTGAAAAACTCTTGTAGATTAAGGTTCTAGTCACAGTGCAAAGACTTTTCACTCATATGGCTCAGTGTCCTCTGTGAATACATGTATCTAGTGTGGATGCTAAAGATGGACAGCACTGAGATCTGTCAATAGAACAGATGGGGAAAAGGCATGGCTTTGAGCTACTGCACAGCTCTGGTTATCACAGTCTAGAGTCCCTCCATGTAACTTAGGTAACAAGGCACTTTTTAGCATCAGGAATAGCAGCAGAATCTGCCCAGAGGTGGTTGAGCAAGCAAAGAAACCATGTCTCAATCCCTGCAGGAAAGCTCAGTCTCTGTTAGCAATACTTCACCTCTGACCTCTGTTTTAATTTATGCTGCTGGAAGGGTCAGGTGCCCAGAGGACAAAGATCTATGTGACTCTCAGGGATTGCTGAAGTGGGGATGCACAACCCTCATTTTATTTCAAGGTGCTCCTAACACATGGCACAGGTTTTCATCACCTCTCTGTGAACTGCAGGTACACAGCTGCTTCCAGCAGATGGAACTGTTTAGCTTTTCCTGAACTTGCCCTGTGTAAACTGCAGTCTGAACATGAATAACAAAACTGACTAGGCTGGATGATCTAACATTACCAGTGGAGAGGAAAAGGCTGCACTTGAAGGACATAAAAGCTGAAAACCACAAAGAAACAAAATGACAAAAATAGAGAGAGATCTTTCCAAAAGCAGAGGCAAAGGCAAAGCACAGAACAGAAAATATCCAAAAGGTGTGGCAACCAGAGAGGCAAGGAAACAGAGAGAGAAAGTAATCAGGGGACAGCTTTCTGATGCGTGCTATAACATAAGGAGCAGGAATAGGAAAGATGTACAGAAAGACAATTTCACAGAATGATTTTGTAGTGCTTGTACTAGAGCACTTCATAAACACTGAAAATGGGCAAGTATTGGCTTCTCTTGTGCAAGTGTTGATGGTCTGTCAAGAAAAGACAGTAATAAAACATGCTCAGACTCAGCCCACAAACCTGCCCAGATCTTAGTCACTTGTAAAGAAGCTCTAATAGTTTCCCAGTTCTGAGCTGGAATGGGTCAGACCTGAAAAACCATGGTTCCTCCAAAGCCTCCAAAAGTGCTCTCAGCACTACCAGTTTCTTACAATTCATGAACAGTGTGGAGCACTTCATGTGACACAGCTTTTTGCTCCCCAAAGAACTGAGAGTCTCGTTCCATAAATGAAAGAAATCACCCATAGAATATACTGGGGAAATATATTAGGAAATTTAGAAAAATTTAAAGAAATTGTTAATTGGTAATGCTGGGGGGTGGTCCTGCTCAGGGTCAGGAGTTGGACTTGATGATCCTGATGGGTCCCTTGCATCTCAACACTTTCTGTGATTCTGTGATAACAATGACAAACTGTTGCGCTGCAGTGAACTGGCACGTGTCACTGCCATGGCTAAAATAATTGCATAGGGGAGAGTGAATAGAGATTGGCTTCCTGGGGATTTTGGAGGGATGGGACAGAAACAGTGCAGGGTCAGCAAGGAGCAAGGGAGTCTTTGCTTAAGAGAGCCAGACACAGGAGGCAGGAAAGGCTGTAGAGCAGCTGAAGGCAAGGCAAGGCAAGGTTGTAATCTGACAGATTATAGCACAGACAGCGGCCATACTGAAAGCAGTAAATGTAAATTCTACTGGCCAGTAACTCCTACACAGGCATGGCCCCTGCAGAACACTGGGCTGTGGAATGGCACACCAGGAGATACCCAACAGTCCTGGGGGAGGGCTTCTGCCTTCTGTGGTTTTGGAAAACCCAGCAAGGTGTCAATGCAAGCTGGGTGCTGCAAGAAGGGCCAGGACATGCAGCTTATCCTACAGAATGGCCTGGCTCAAAATGCTGCCCAGACTTCAAGTCCTGCAGTTTGGAGTCTGTGTGCCCTCTGTGGGTCTGCAAACTGTCACCATCTACCACTTGAGACTAGACTTCTAAGGTTATTCAGGAAAGGTGGTTTTAATTATCCTTTTAAATGAATAATGAATATGGTGAACAAATTTTAAATGGAACACACAATTACTTACTGAATTAAGACAAAAAGATATGAAAGAAGGGCAAAAGGAGATTATAAAAATGAACAATAAGATTATTTTACTCACTGAGAGTTTTTCCTTTGCTTGTTTAAATACAGCAGGAGCCTGGTTTGTTTCACCACCTGCTGCTGAGAAATCCAAAGAAAGACTTGATAGTTAAAGACAGTAATAATAAGCATTTCCATTCAGTACACTTGTTAGACCAATTAAATGCCTTGAAACTACTTGCAAAGTGAGTACTTTGTGAAATACCCTGAACTGTATGCAGACATTTACTTGCCTTGAAATTTTTCTGCATTCACCTTACTTGAGGTAAAATGGTATTCTATGTGTTTTGAACAAAATGAAATTTTGTATTCATGTTCCTAAAAGTCTATAAACGAAAAGAAAAAAGTTCCAGAAATAGCTGACAAATATAAGTTTCTGTTCAATCCTCAGAAAACTTAGCATCCTGATTTTCAGGACTGTTCTCTAAAAATCAAGTTCCTTTACATCATCCACAAATTAAAATATTAAGAGAGGCCTCTATAACCACCACTTTCAAAATATTAGCCAACATATATAATGGACAGAGAGAGATTCACTGTTGAATTTTAATCCTAGTTGTGTCAACAAGGTCAGTGTGTCATGGTCAACTAAGCTCTCAAGAATTTAGAAATTGAAGGTTTATCTGGGACGTCAAGAATGTTAATCCAGTATTTCATTTATTTGATACATGGTTTGAGGTATCAAATGTTTCTCTTGGAGTTCAAATCCATCCACACCGGTTTCTGAATGGGACAGCTTTTTGGAAAGCAGGTTATTAGCTTCACTCTAAGGCTGCTGCTTAGGAAGTGACGTGCTACTTAACAACTAACATGAAATCTCTTGGCATCTGTGCCAGGATGCCCTTGGTAAAAGCAGAAGTAGGAAACAATCACAAATGACAACCTTCTGCTATAAACCAAACTGTTTTCCAGCTTTAAACCAACCCTAATTCCTCATACAGCAAAGATCAGGTTAATTTTTCCCATTTCTTATGCAGCTCCCAGGGTGTGGTGAGGTTATCCCTGGTTTCCTGTCTCACTACCCACTCTAGCCCAAGGTGTAGGAGAGAGAACTTGTGAGGAGGAAAAGAATATGTAACTGCCTACTTCAGTTCTTCTGAATTTTTAAGAGAGGTGAGTACAGCAGAGCCTTCCCGTGTCACACTTCAACACAGCTGTTACTGCTGGTTTGGGTCTGGTTTCCATCTCTTCTAGATAACCACAAACAGCTCCTTTCCTCCTTCCCTTGGCATTCAACCCTAACCAGTCACCACTGGGGGCTGGTAAAAAAGCTGTGTCCCTTGTGCCAATGTGCCTGGTAACAGCCACAACTCCTCCATCTGAACACAAGATTTCTACAGGTCCTACAAACATGTTTCAGCTTAGAGGGTGACCCCAGAACTGAAAACAAGAAACAAACATATCATGGCCAGGTCATTGTCCTGGCCTTGCCTCCAACAACGCTGCTCTGATAACACACCTGCAGTAGCATCTCACAGCCACCAACAAAACCCAGGCCAGGCTGGGGGCTTCACTCATGGAGCTACACCAGCCAAGGCAAAGACTTCCCAACTCTCTCATCAGGGTTGGCCTTGCAATTTCTTTTTCAAATGGCAAGGACAAGTCTCTCAAAAACCAGTCCCTGCCTCATGGATATGGTGGTTTAATTTACTGGTACTTCCCAGTGCTTACCAGTGATGTGGAAATTTTTTTCAGGTATTGAGGGGCATTAAGGGAAAAATGTACTTTTCCAGGCCATTGTGCAAAACAAAAAAGCAGATATTAACTTATTTTGGTAGATATTTGTATCTTATGACTGGACATGCTTCATTTTGAAGTCATGGTAAATGCAGTGTGGAGATTTTAACTGACTGCAACACACTCAAAGCTCTGTAAACTACACTGCCAAGAACTTTACAGGGGGCTTCATTACCCAGGCATCACTAAAACTGAAAAGACCACTCCAAACAGGATGCACTGACAGTCAAAACTGGCTTCAAGAAATGGTGCTATATTTCACATAAAAAGAAAATGGGAGAGAGACAATGTCCCTCTAGATTCCAGATCCTGGAGAGACCTGCATGTCACAATCAAGCTCAGGGATATGTAAGATAACACATATTGCAGAATATGACACAGCATTGCAGTTTTTCTCATGGTCTCCCCCCAAGTCCCATAAGGAAGTATAAAAATGGGAGGTAGAAGAAAATAAGGCATACTGTAATTTTTCCAGCAACAGTGAGTGCACTGAAACGTTCTAAGAAATATTCTTGGTCACTTTCTGGCATGGTTTCAGCTCCTCTGCTTTAGAGCTCAAAGTTCAAGACATATTTCTGAAAGTTTTATGATGAGTCTGGGTCCATTATTTTGGTTGCTCTCCACCTTAGAACTTAAATAAGGGAGGACTTAAGTAAGGGAGGTAGTTGTTGTATTATATTTCTCACTTTGACTAATACATCTGCTTCACTGTGCATTGCAGTGAGGGAGAAAAACCTCTGAGGTTTGCCAAGGCAGCACAAGTTTCAGGCACAGGGCAGATTTTATCCAAGTCCACTGGTATGATTCAGTTCTTTTTGGGCTCCTAAGGGTCAGAGCAGGTAGGGGTAGAGTGAGTAGCCTGTGGTCAGAGCTGTCATGCCCTGGTAGCTGAGGGCATGACAGCTCTGACCACACAGCTGTACAAGTGTAGACGAGGTTGAGAACACTACAAAGCCAGTGCCTTTCCCCCACCCAGGTCCACAGCTTATTGAATCCCCTGGGGCTTTTGAAAGAACATGAGAATTAAGGGTTGTAACTTCTGAGCTATCAAGCTGTGCTTCAGCAAGCAGCAAGAGGTAGCAAGAGGAAATGTTTTAACTCTGTTTTAAAATTCCTCCCTGTTGGGTAGTTCTGGTTCAGAGTGCAAGTTAGGACAGCCCAGAGACTGCAAACTGAGGGGGAGCCATCAGTGCAACACAGAGGGGACTGAACCAGCCTTTCCTTTGCTGGTTCCATTTCTCCTGAGAGGGGGAAGTAAAAGGGTGAGATTCTGTCACAGGAGCAAGGGGATGGGATCGTTCTGGTGTCCCAATGGAACACAGCCAGGATACAATCCACACTTCATACAGCAGAGGCATGAGACCAAACCTGCTCTACACCATCCTCTTGCTGCATTTTCACTGCTCAGACCCCTCTGCTGTTGCTGGTCTGCATTCACAACAAGAGGTGCAAAACTGCAGGGGAATGACTGCCTAGGGACACTTCTAGTATTGCTCTGCTTAACCATAAGGTGGTAATGAATGTTCCTGTTAATTTCTAAGCTGTGAGAAGATGCCTCTGCATTTCTGCATTGCTGTGCCTGGTTCTTCTCTTATTAACCCTAGTTCCAAACAACCACACTTACAGCATGTGGCTATGTTACACGACAGAAAACCTGGCCTCTTTTAGCAATTTTTTTTTTTAAGATCACAATGAAAGCCAATATGTTCATCCTTCCACGTGGAACTCATAGGAACCATGAATAATATGTGAAAATGCTGGAAGAGTTATTTTGGTCCTCTAAATAATGATACACCTATGAAGTCGTAACAGGAATCTTTTCTTTCTTCCTTTCATCTTCCTCTACCAAATATTAAGATTTTTGCTTGCAATGCATTTCGCAGTGTGAGCCCAGATTTCTTCTCTCTCAGCTCCATGCTGCATGTGGCTTGATTCTCCCTGTGGATTTTGACTGTACAGCATAAACATCAGTGACAGATTGGGAATTGTCAATGCAGATAACATCAATAAACAAAATATAAGTCTGAAACACTTCTTATTATGCATGAGAGTAAAAAAGCAGAATAATGGAAATGCATACCATGGTTTAAGTTGCCAACATTTTCCCACCAGAAAAAAAAATAAAGCATAATTTAAAAAAAATTAAAAAAAAATAAAGAAAAAAATCATCCACAAATTAAAAGATGAGTAGAGATTCCTAGAACACCACACTCTAAGCACGATGCCAAGTTACAACCACAGCACTTGGAGGCCCAAGCAATGACAAGCATACATGATCATGGCCTCCATCAAACAAACAAATACCAGAAAAGAAAGAAAGAATAAAAGAAAAATGGTACAAAACACTAAAAAAGCAATACTATTTGTGAAGATTGACACTCTTGGAAGAAAAAAAAAAATAGAGAAGCTGCTAGAGCTATGAGATTTACAAAAGAAAATGTCTATGTTTGCCAGCCACATTGCATAACTGAACAGAACGCAGTCACCTGTCTGCTTCCGTTTAACACAGGAGAGATGAGTTGGTCTAGTATATTTGATAGCAGGTTTTAAAATTATTTTCCTGGAGGGAGAGTGGCCCTGAACTTCAGTTTTTTTAGCAAGTTCAGCTTTCTTATACACTGCTATGGACAAAAAGAACACAAAAACACAGAATCAGAAAAAAACCCAGCAAACCATTTCATATGATCAATATGTCAAGCGTCAGGCCCACTGCCCCACAACTCCAACCCAACGCGTTGCTTCTTCCGAGGGGAGCAAATCCTATGCTGCAAGAGGGGGAGCACTGGTGCATTGGCTCAGGTGCATTACCCAGTAATCAGTGGGGATGTCCACAATGAAATAGGACCAGTGGAGCAGTGAGCCTTGGACATGGCTTCTCACATAGTTGTACAAAATCTCATTATAAAACACTATCATTAATAATGCCATGGTGCACATAATCTACAGCAGAGTAACCAGACAGTACTGTAAAATAGTAAGAAAATAAAAAAAAAATTGTAATAGGAGTGTGAAATGAACCTTTTTTCCTTCTCACTTCATCTCTGGAGAGTGTGCTAGGTTCCTTTTTAGCTATTTTCCTTTCAGGAGTAGAAATCCTGCCTCTCCCAGTTTTAAAAGGTTTCTCTTTTTTATGCTTATCAAGAGATGATCTTCGCAATTCTCTCTCTGCTTTCTCCTCTTTAGGAACAGTCTCTAACTGTTCAGTCATGATGCTCCTATCATCATCTGTAGGATCAGAGCAAATTACAACAACAAACAAAAGATTAGTAACAAATGTTAACAATACTTCAGAGGAGCAGGGAAAAAATAGTTGAAGACAGAGCAGATGATTAATTTTAAAAAAGCAAACTATTTTTACCATTTCTCTGAAACATGCTGAGATTACTATTATAACTGTAATAATTTTGCTTTTCAATCATTATGATTTGGAAGCAAAAATATTCAACAGACAAAACAGAAAGGATAATGCACACCTTGAGTGTCTGCCCAGAGACTGTCTGTGTCCATGATGGAGTCATCAATTGTTGTTTCATCTTTGTAATCATCACACGTCTCTGTTTTGTAGTTAGTGAGCAAGATTTCTTCTCTCTGGGGTGAAGCAGGAGCCTCTCGGGAGCCCTCCTTGGGCTCAACTTCCACTTCTTCAACATCCAGCTCCTCCTCAGCCTGGGAGTCTCCTGTTTCAATGTCTTCCTGCTGAGTGGCAGCGAAGCGCACGCTGTGAGAAGCAGATTCACCCTCATCAACTGTTGTCTGCACCACTGTGATAAAGTCATCCTCCACTGTCACCACTGATTCAATAATGCCTTTCAGCTCAGGCAGGGCTTCTGGGCTACCCTTGGCTCCCATTTCTTCTGCAGCAGGCTCACCAAAGTCTGGGGGCATTTCTGATACAAGATGCTCTTTATCCTCTTCTTTTGCTTCTTGCCCTGCTTCCACCTCTTCTTCCTCATATTCTTCCTCTTTCGGGGCCCCAGCTGCCAGTTCACATGGCAGCAGCTTTTGGGTTTCTGTAGGTTTCACAGCTCTATCAAGAGTCTCTTCAGCTCCTTCTACAAGTTGTGGTATGCTCTCCATCTGAATCTCAGCAGGCTCCTCTCGGATTGGCTCAGCTTTTGGAAAGAGGGGCTCCACAGAAGCCTCCTTAGCTGGTAACTGTGTAGGCATCTCTTCCCCAGACACAGGAGGTTTTGGATGTTCTGGTTTGATATCCTCTGGTTTCACAGATTCTCCATTCAAACTTTCTTGGGCTTGATCATGCTCTCCACTAGATTCGTAAGATTCCTCCTTATCAACTGCCTCTTGATGTACCAGATCTGGCTTAGGTACTTTTTCCTTAATTTCAATTTCTGACAGTTTGGTGCTGTCCTTTGCATAACTAGGCTCAGTCTTGGAAAGTATATCTGCATCCTTTGCTTCTCTGGGGAAGATGGTCTCCTCTTTCTGCTGAGTGTCTTTGGGTTCAGGCTCTGCTTTTTTAAGAGAGGCTTTGTCCTTCCCTAATGGAAGAGAAACAACCTCACTGACCTTAGTGTCTAACTTACTCTGATATTCTTGGTCAGCTCTCCTTGCAGCTACCTCCATATCATGCTTAATAGCATCGTAATCTGGTTTAATTGGAGCTTCTATATCAGCTATCTCAGCTATTTCATGAACAACACTAAGGGTCTTCTCCTTCTCCAGCAACAAACAAATAGAATCCTTTTCTATTGCTATCTCTGAAGAAGAAATTCTGTCATACATTGTGTCAGCAGGTAAATTAACTTTACTAGCCACACTTTCTTCTTTCCTTTCTAACGCTGCCTCAGCTCTTGTCTTCTCTGGTTCTGCTCCTTTAATGGGACAGACCTCTTTAGAGTCAACTTGATCTTCACTTTTTTCTAGCACAGTATCCAGTTTCTCTTTTTTCTCCTCCTCAAAGTCCCTCACCAGAGTGGACTCACCATGCTGACCTAAATCTCTTTCACTGAGGAAGTCTTCTTTTGATTTTTCAGCAGCTGCCAGCTTCACTTCTATTAAAGACAAGTCAGGAGCGAGGCCACGTCTCAGTTTTTCGTCTGTGCCTTCGTAGAAGGGACAGGTTTCACTTGTTAAATTCTCACTGTCCTGAACTGGAGAGGGGAGTGGTACTGTGTACTTATTGAAAACACAGTAGCCCAAGTCTTCCAGCTGGCTTTCAGCTTTCAGAATTACATGGTTTTCATTTGTCACAGGTGGCAGGGCTGTGCTGCTGTCTTCCACAACAGTGTCAGAAGGAACTGGCTTCTTCTGTGCCACCTCAGCATCTGCACTCACAGAGGCTAATCTCGATCTTGTCCCTGCCAAGTCTAACATTTCAGGCAGGTCAGGAGCCAGGACAGCCCCATTTTTGTAGTAATCTTTGGCCTGGAGAGACGGTTCAGCCAAGGTATCAGGCTGGACTTTTTCTTCTACCGTCGCTTTTTCTTCTTCTGTGTGCTCATCTTCCTCTCTACTTTCAATGGGGAAGCAGGGGGCCTTCTCCACTGCTGGTGTGGTTGCTGGCAAGTAGTCATCACCTTCATCCATACTTCCACTAGTGTTAGTTAGAATATCTGAAGCGAGGGGAGAAAGATCATGTGCACGACCAAAACTAAATCCTAGGGCTATTGAGTCCAGACAGGACATGGGCAAGTTAATAGACATACTTCTCTGTTCAATTGCAGATCTCCCCCCAAGTCCCAAGCTCCTGCTCAGAGTTAGGTCATCTTTATTTTTACTGTGAAGTTCTCTCTTATCCCCATAGACTTTGGGGTCAATAGTGAACATTCTTTCTGTTGGAGAACTGGGTTCTTCAGATGTGTCTGGTGTATAGCTCTGAGCCAGGGTACTGTACCCCATTTCACGAGCATGCACACTCTGCTGCTGATTTAATTCTTCCTCTTCCTCCTCCTCTTCATCTTCAGGTATTAGAGGACCTCTCTGATAAGGCTCATATTTACTCTCTTTAGTGTCACTTAGCTCATAGTAATCACTGCTTTGTTTCAGACTATCTGCTTTGAAGGCTTCCTCTTTCAGAGCAGAGGTTTCAAAATACTTTGACATTCCTGACTGATCCTCCTCTTCCTTAATTTGATGAGGAGCTGCTAGACTTGTCTTATCCTCCTCGGTATCTTTTTTAACATCTTTCTCTTGAGAAGTTTCTAGAGTAGGAGTCTTCTCAGTGGTTAGACCTGGTGCCTCAGGGGCTTTCTCTGTTACTCTGGATAACTGAGTGGTATCAGGGTGCTCTGCTGTTTGCTCATGACTCAGTTCATGGCTTAACTTAGCTGGGGGTACCTGTGTGCTTTGCTGTACCTCCTTTTTCACATCTGCTGCTGAGAGCCCACTTTGGTCCATTTCTTTTTCTGCTTTGAGAGTATCAGGTGACTTTTTAGCTTCACCATCCTTTTGAAAGTCTGTTTTGTCTGGGGAAGGTGTCTTAACTTCTGATTTTGTGGTCATTTTACCATCATCTAATATTTGAGCCTCCCCTTTATCACAGAAGTCGTATCTTTCTTCCTCATCGCTCTCATCCTTAGTCATGTCCTTTTCCTCTCCCCATGGAGGGATTTTTGGGGTGCTTGGAGTTTTCAATCCATCTACAGTTACTGCTGAGACTTCTTGGAGAGATAATGTCCTGTCTTTGTGGATCTGTTCATCTTTACTGAGATCTTTGGCAAACAGTTGGTCAGTAGGTTCCTGATGTGTTTTGAAACTGTCTTTGAGTGAAAGCTCCTGGGGGAGAGCAGGAGATGAGCCTGAAGGAAGTTCACTTTTGGTTGCTTCTGCCTTGGGTTCTGGTAGCAATAGAGGACTTTCCTCATAGCTGATGGCACCACCCTGGATATCTTTGAGGTTGTCTTGAAATTTGATACCCATAACTTGGTTGGTCGATGAGGGCACGCCTGCAGTCCTTTCTTCCGCCCTGCTCACTTCAGGCAGCTGAGATGACAAGTGCTCTTGTTCTTGAGGAGCAGGAGGCTTAGCAGCAGGTTCTGCAAAACTGGCTTCCCCTTTCATCTGTGAATCAGTTTTCAACATCCATTCTGATGGAGGTGAAAGCACTTTTTCTTTGTCTTTGCTCTCCAAATCCTTTTTATCTGCAGCCTCTGTTTTTGCTGACTGTGGAACTAAGGCATCATATTTAGGTTGCTCAACAGTCTTACTGTCCTTCCCAGATTCACGTTGCTTTGTGTCTAATGGTTCTGCTGCAAAAGGGCATGTGCCCTCCTGGACACGGAATTCCATCTTCGTGGCTGCAAGTAAATCTGAAGTAATTTGTTTGGGTTTTATAGCAAAATTATTTAAAGCACTTACAGGCAGGCAGTCACGTGGCCTACAACATTTTAATATGAATGATGGAATGGAAAGGGAGAAAGATGTGAGCATGCAGCAAGGCATCCCTCTAGAAATCTGCTGTAAGTGTTAAATACTAGTTTCCTTTCAATATATAAGGTTTTCTGAGAAAAATGTGAGCTGTACACAGATAAATGTGAGCACTGAAATGAGATGATTTCATGTAAATTCTTTGTCTTCATGATTTGTATACAACGGCAAAATCACAAATAACCTCACTTCATTAGAAGCTTTGGTGGACTCTGTAGCTTATGTTAGTTTGTGTTAGTGAAGTCTGCAACTTCAAAGGAATCAGTGGTACCTTTCTGTGTTGCTGATATTTAAAACATACACAGTTACACATTTCTATATATTTTTATACTTTTTTCTTCTACGTGCAGCCTAAACTAGAGATAATGCCTGCAAAGGGTTTTGCAAGTTTCAGAAGAGGCTGTTTTTTTTAACTGTGCCAGTTTGTAACACTTGCTCTTTGTCAAATGACCAAAATCCCACTGCTGTCACCAAACCAGCATGTGGAAATCAGCAACAGACCTATTAATACTCCCAGATCTTGAAGGTCTGGTCTTCAAAATGGCCAGTCACCTACAAAGCTGTAGGTGAAGTAGCTGAAGTCAATGAATTCTTGGCATGTTTCTGTGACTCTAGATTAGGTGCTAATTAACTTAATTTGAAACTAAAAAGGCTACTCTTATACTCTGCCGCTTTATTTTCAGAGGCAAATACCTAGGTTTTTTTTTTTTATACCTACTCTGTTAATCATTAATAGCTTGATCTTTTTTTAATGTCCTGTGGAAGATAATGATTCCTATCTCCTTGAAGTCTTCCTATAATGGAATATATGAAGAGAATGACTGCAGAATGTGGCATATCTTTCTGCACTAATCTGTAAAATAGTTTTTTAAAATGTTTTTTCTGAGTTTTTTCTAAAGCTTGTTACAACTAACATTGGGCCAACTCCGAATTTCTTCAGATCTAAAGTCCATGGAGGCATCTTTTTGCTCTGACAAATTTGACTGGTTTTAGAATAATTAGTATCAAAGTATTGCTCATTATTTAAATATTTGCATATGTTAATACTGAGTCAAAAAAGCAACTGCCATTCTAAAATCCACAGGTAACGAAACTAGAAATCTACACCTACAATAATTTTGCTCCTTTATGTTTTTACATGTGGTGACTGACTTGCAATCCCCATGAAGTATAAAGCATGGCCACTGGGCTGATGACATCCTCATTTCACAGAAATTAAATAGCTAGATACTGCTTTTCTCCATGTATCCTACTGTCTCTCTTCCTGTAGTGCAAGCAAACAATACCAATGGCATCAAAGCATATTCTGACTGCCAAAGCAATGTAGTGTTCTTCAGCTGGGCCATTCAGAACACAAGCCTCCTAACACAGCATTCCTTAGCCAGGTAGGGAGTGGGTACCTCACTACTCCACACAAGGTGTCTTTGCACCTTGTTGCACTGGCTGAAGAGAAATACCATTAAAACAAAAATACTGAAGCCTAGTTCTTATGTACTGCAAGATGACTGCAGTAAACATTTTGTTCAGAGACTAAGTCTAAACTTCACCCAGTCCTAACATCCACTTTGAAGGCAAATATCCCAGTGGAAGCGATGGAGATTTTGCCTAAGAAGGGCACTCCAGCAGGGTTCAACATTTGTAATAAAGTGGCACACGCAAAAAATAAGAGTTCTGGCAATGACTGAGGAGAGGAGGGGTGGATTGCAATGGATGACAAGGGTATGATATAAGAAGCAATAGCTTTAAGGAAGCTAAACCAGAATGCACTGAAGCACACACAAAAAAACCAAACCAACCAAACAAAAATCCTGCACACTGCAAATGAAAACATTTCTACAGTTTAAGCATCTTTATGTCATAGTCAAAGGCTGCAAATCTGCTGTTTGAAAGAAATGCAGATGAACCTCTGCACCAAAAAGAAAAAAAATACATAGATTAGCAATGTGACTGGCAAACACATCTGAGATGGGGAAAAAAGGCTTAGACAGAGGAATAAGCTTAGCTGCAAAGCAATATTTTATCATGGCAAAGTAAAAAACTCAGGAATCAGCCGCAGCGGTGGGAAACCATGTTGTCATACAGCACCTACACAATCAAATTATCCACTACACACTCTTCAAGCATAATAACAAGAGCAGTCATACTAATAAATGGGCAAAACAGAAAATGAAGCAGGCTTGGAAAGCACTGGAGAAAGCTGGAGAAGGATTTGCTGGCAGCAAACACATGCAAACCAAAGGAGGACACACCTTCCTCAGCCAAGGAGGAGGGTGTGTCTTTCAGGAGTGCTCCCACCACAAAGGTCACACTCTCCCTGCTGGATGCCACTTTTGGCACTTCTTCTTCATGACACACTGAACCAGAATCTGACTGACCCTCACAGAGGGTCTTTGCCTGGTCCAAAGGCTTAAGGGGCCTGTGCTCTTTCCCCATTTGCTTCCCAGGAAGAGCAGAAGATTTCACTTCCACAGCCATCAGACTCTTTACTGGTTCTTCTTCTTGGAGATGGAAAGAACAGGGGACATCCCCACCAACAGTAAACACCAAGCACACAGCTGAACAGGACTGCTTTTACATAACCCTTTCAGAACTGCATTTACATAACCCTTTCAGCTCAATATTCTCTATTTAAGTCTGTAAAGGACTGCCAGTACCCGGTTCATTTTAGCCACCATGGAACTGAATTTTCCTTAGGGAAAAAACCAAACCAAAAGCCTGCCTCCCCCCAGACAAGCATGTTTATGCCACAAGATGAGAGCTGAAAGTGTTTTACAGGCATACCTCTCCCAAGGATAACAGTGGGTGAAATAGTCATTGGAAATGGAGATGGAATGGAATGATGGATGGCTCTGACAACACTAATGCATCAATGAGCTCAAAGTACACTGATATTTTTCTAATAAATGTACTGTTTAGTCCAGTAAATGACATTCAGCTGAGGTGGAGGAAGGTATGAGGCATTGATTTCTTTCTGCTGACCTTGGTAATACAGACTGCTGAATGCCAACAAGTCAATCTACTGTATGAATCCTGGGTTTGGCAAAATACTGAGAACTTTCATAGTCATAAGAGGCCTTGTTCATGGCTAATGATTAATGGCTTTTGCAAGATTTCTGCCAAGTTTCCTACACTGAATGGGTTTATAAACAATTTCTCCCTTACTCTGTCTGACATCTGAAATCTGTATGTGAAAGTCACTATTTTAACATAAGGACTCTTCGTTTTCTTTGCTGTTTCCCCTCTTATCCCCAGGCTCCTCACCATCAATTAAGTCAAAGAAACCAATGAATGCAATACAACTATTTGTTCATCCAAATTTCTAAAACATACTACTCAGCCTATAGGCTGTTAGGATCAGTAAAGTAGAATCAAGAACAGTCTTTTTGCTTGTGCCATGGCAGAAGAATTATTAGAAAAATCTCCATTCCAGGCTTGTACTCCTGCCACTGTGACTCAGACAAAAATTACTGTATGCTAATAGTATTCCCTCTGATAATAAGTAAGGATTAAGTGTGAATCCTGTGATTCAGCAATGTACTCAAGGAGCTGACCAGCAGCCATGCTGCAGGCAACCTGATGGCATCCCTGAGTTTAAAATGTGTCTCACAATGAAGTACTTTGCTGAATCAGACCTAGAACAAAGCATTTTCAAATCTGGAAGTGGCTGTATCCATCCTCTTGGAATTACAAGGGCTTTGTTTTTCTCTTGAGATTGTTCCAGTGAAAACCAATCAATCATTCCTTTCAGCTATTGCCTTAAAAGAATGATTTAAGGAACATAAAAACTATTTGAGGCTGAGAAAATATCAGTATGTAAAGAACAACACATTATTGATAACATAAAATAATTGAGGTTAGATACTGTATCTTAAATGAACAGAAGCCAGAAGATTCAGAATCAGACCCTGACCAATGCCTGAACAATGCAGAAATATTTACACATGGGCAGATTGTAAAAGCAGCCTTGCAGGACAACAGGTCTCCAGCTACAAGAGACCCTGACTTGAATAACTTGCTTTACTTTTCTTTTTCTATTTTCATGTACTTTTGTATGTGCTTCCCTCTTAATTAAAAAATGGTAAGGACAGTCTTTTATTTTATTCTGAGCAATACTCCTTCATTTCCTGGAACATTTTACATAAGGCCACATGAATAAAAATAATTACTCCAACTAGAAAGTTTTCCTTGATTTAACAAAAGAATCATATAGCCTCTCCTTGTGCAGCAGACTCTTATGCCAAGCAGACTGCTGCCAGCAAGGACAGCTGTTTCACACAACAGTCTCAGCTGGAAGGGCAGGAAGGATCCTTCACACACAGCAGGATCATCAAGTCCAACTCTTAAGTGACCAAGCCATTCAGGGATTGAATCTTGGCATTTTAGCACCATGCTCTCACCAGCTGAGAGGACCCCAGGGTCTCATAATGCCTATCTTTGCACTCATGATCCAGCTTATCTGCCTTTTTTCTCCTCCATATAGATGTTCTGAGATCTTACGCTCTCACCAGAGGCAGATTATATGACAGGAAAGGAAGTTGCCCATGAACTAATCAGGCTGTTATGTACAGCTCTAGGCACACAGCTAAAGTAAAGCTACCCCTGTGATTTTTCTATCTTCATACCCTTGGTTAGATATGCTGACATGAACAATATTCAATTATTAGTGCTTATCTCTTACTGATGCTGTTACAGTATTAGGCTGTTAATTCTAAACAACTCTGGTTTTCTTAAAATGAGCCAGTGACCAGTTTCAGGGAGACAGCTCCATCCTCCTGAGACACAGACCTTTAGAGGATCCAGTACTATTTTTGACTTTGGCTGCCAAGACTGAGTGCTGTGAAATGAAACTACAACTATTTCACCTTTGAGA